GAAGTGGGGCTGGCCAGAGGCGCAGCGGGGGGAGCGAATCGGCCAGCAGGGAGCGGGACTGACCCGGCCATATGTGGGTCTCGGGGTGCTACCTCCCTTTCCTCCCCCCGCAAAGCACGAGTGAGTCCGGCCCGGGGATTCTATTGTGCCCCCCTCCCCCACACACACATATCCCCTCATGTAGTTGCAAACTGTCTGGCTGGTAGACACACTCATGCAATCTGAGCACATTTACCAGCCAGGCAGTTCAAAACTACAAACTGATACATCTAGTAATAATACAACTTACCTACTGAGAAAATACCAGACATATTATATGTCTGGTATTTTCTCAGTTTGTTTTTTTTATGTGTTTATATTTTTGGGCTGCAGAAAACAGTAAGGAAAAAAAAGGATTCTAACTAAAGTAAAAAGTTTGGGAAACCCTGGTCTAACCAGCTTTCTGTCTTGTCTGTCTTACAGTCCATTTATCCAATCCATATTCCTTAACTTGCTGGCAAGAATATTGAGGGTGACCATATCAAAAAGCTTTGCTAAAGCTAGCACTGGAGGCTTTGGGAGGACCAGAAACAACTTATTTGAATATTCATCATTTGATTAATGAATATGAAAATGAATGTTACCGGTCCTCCAAAAGTTCGTGAATGGATTTACTGGTCCCCATGTCAAAAAGTTTGGGAACCCCTGCCATATACCATCCATGTGGGTCACAGGTGCTTTCTTCGATTCATAGTCGGCACCAAGCTTTACCAGTACCAGGTTCTCCCATTTGCTTTATCAACTGTACCATGAGTTTTTTCCAAAACACTAGCAGTAATAGCAGCATACCTCCACCACTTGAGGATGATATTCCCTTACCTAAACAACAGTCTATCAAAGGAACTTCCTACTAGGACACACGAGACATGATTCATACCACTATTACTCTGCTACACAACCTTGGGTTTCACATCAATTACCAAAAATCCACATTAGAGCCCACACAAGCTCTAGAGTTTATAGGAGTTCACTTGGGCTATGTCTACACTACATGTTTTGTCGCAAGAGGCAATGCAAATGAAGCGATGATTAGCATTTTCTCACACTTCATTTGCATAATCTATTCTGACTGTTTTTGTGCAAAAACCCCTTTTTGCGCAAAACAGACATGTCCACACTACATGTTTTTGTGCAACAACCTCTTGCACAAAAATGGATTGGAATAGATTATGCAAATGAAGTGTGAGAAAATGCTAATCAGCGCTTCATTTGCATTGCCTTGTCTGACAAAACACGTAGTGTAGACGTAGTCCTGGACTCCACCATAGCCAGAGCGATGCTCCCCAAACACAGGTTAGAGGTGCTCACCACTGTCACTGATACAATACGGGGACCACACCACACCATTCCTGCCCATTCTGATGGACCTAACCTGCATGAATTTATCTAGTTGTCTCTTGAACCCTGTTAAAGTCCTGGTCTTCATAACCACCTCTATCAAGGAGTTTCACAGGTTGACTGTGCAGTGTGTGAAGAAAAACATCTTTTGTTTTAACCTCCGGCCCTACATAAGGGTGGTGTGGTCAGGGGTGATGTATGTTTAGCAGAAGACTTCTGCGGTGCCAGTTTTGGTGGTGTTTGTGGTACTCCCACTATTGCTGAGGATGGTGTAGGTGTTGGAGCTCATGGTGATGGGATGTCGGCATGGGCTGGTCTCGGTGCCAGCTTCGGAGCTGCTTTCAGTACCATCATTGGTGCCAAGGTCCAAGTGTGCATGCTTATGTATAGTGCTGTCCTTTACCAGTGCAGTGCCAGAGGTGCTGGGTTTATCGGTTGTACTGGCTGCACTAGGCACGAGAGGTAATGACCTGGCTGGAGATACTTTGACCTTAGAAGTCAACTTCTCTGATGAAGAGGAGGGACGTTACTTTGCTGAAGTGGAAGATTTGTCTCTGTCTGAAGTCTTTTCAGAGGGTAATGGGCCCTCAGAGGGCAATTGAAGGACCTTTCATATAGAAAGGTTTTAAGGCGGTTTTCTCTATCTTGCCTTGCCTGCGCTGTGAGGTTGGATCAATGTTGGCTCTTCTGGGAGAGGTGGCCTTCCCCCAGGCAGTTTGTACATGATGAATGTCTGTCGGAGATCTGCATCGTGTCTCTGCATGAGTTGCACCTCTTGAAGCCTGGGGATCCAGGCATGGTAAAGAGGATAACTGCGAAAGCGGGATTTTTTTTTTTTTTAATAAACAGTAAACGGGTTGAATGAACTTGGAAAGTAAGGAAACCCAACTATTTTTTGTTGTTGATCAAAAAAAGGGGGGGGGGGCAACTGCCGAAGCTCTGACTACTGCCGAGGATGGAAGAGAAGGAACTGAGGTGCCATGCTGTGCGCGCAGTCAACCAACACCAACAAGGCAAGACAGCACTACTGAGCATGCGTGGCGCAGCAGCGCTCTGCTACCAAAAATCTCCAGTTGCTGGCACGAGGATGCACCAGCACCTAAAGTGGAACTCCCACAGGGACATTACTCAAAGAAAAATATATATTTTTTAATTCATTAGCTTTTCCCAATTTGATTTTGATACATCATTAATGATGTGAGTGCATCCATCCTTGTTGAAATTGAATGCAATTATATAACGGGACCTTTAAAATCTACACACAGTATTAAAAGATCAGATTTCAAGATGCACAGATGCTAAATGGTATGCTTGAGCCATTGACATTATGTATCAGAGTACACTATTTGAAACCTGAAGCCTAATGCATATGCATGCACATTTTCAAATGTTCCTAACCCCCTTCCCCACACCTCCCAAACACTTTAACACAGTATCCTATGTAATTTCAAAAACAACACTTTGGGAAATACATCATTTTAGCCTACAAGTCGCAATATGTAAACCTGCTTATTCATAACTCCAACACCAAATACTTAACTCTATATGGAACGTAAACATGACTCCTGCTATTAGACACTATTATGAAAACAGTTTTTACTTTAATTTTCAGTGGTTGCATATTAGACATGCATACCTGACAGTGAAACCTATGTGAAAGATTGCACCTACAGGCCACGCCACCAGTAAGTACTAGATGAATAATCTCAACCCTACTTTACTAAGTTTCTGCATTCTGCAAACAATAAGCGAAGGATACCATGGCTGACATAACATCTTTTATTGGACTAAAATCTGTTGGTGAGAGAAATTTTTATAAGCTCAATAACTCTGTGTAAACTCAAAAGCTTTTCTTTCTTTCTCACCAAAAGAAGTTAGTCTGATAAAAGACCTCAGCCACTTTGTGTGTCTAATATTGTGGGACCAATACAGCTACCACAACGCTGCATACAACAGCAGTAAGAGAAAGCTAGTTATTTCCCCCACCAATAATTCCATTTGTTACTATACTTATGGGACATCTCACAAGGAGTAAGCCTTAATGATGAGCAGTAGGTAGCTGCAGGATTAGGCCCTCTGCAATGACAACAGTGCTTCACATTTTCTGATGCATATTATAGAAGCAACATGGGTATTTTTTCCTTATCAACTTTTATTTTACAAATAAAAATCACACCTAGCATTTTTTTTTCCTTTCCAAGAGTAAGAGGAAAAAACAGGGTGGAGGAAACATGTCCACCTCGCCCATCTCCTACACAGAGCCATGCATCTGCGGGGCAGGAGACTGCTCTGGTAGCCGGGGTGGAGGAGCCATGTGGTGGGCAAAAGGCTGATTCAGCAGCCTGGGCCGGAGCCACTGTGTGGGAGCCGGAGCAGGAGAGTGGTGGGAGGTAGGTACCATAGTTGGTACCAGTGGGGGAGGCAGTGAGGCCAAGGACAACAGGGGCCCAACCCAGAAGCCAGCTGGGGGGAAGGCACCAGCTGTCTGTGACTGTGGGAGGAGGTACTGCATGCAGGTAAATTCCAGGGGTGGGGGAGGGTGGAAGAGAGGGTGAGGTGTGAGGCCAGGCACAGGTCTCTGGGCAATGTGGGGGGGGGAGGGGGAAGAGAGCAAGGTGTGGGGTCAGACACAGGTCTCTGAGCAGTGGTGCTTGGGCTGTGGGCCGTAGGTCCAGGTACTGGCTGGCTGTTTTTGGGGGCAGATAGCATATATATTGGTGGCATAGGGGGACATATTGCAAGGCTGGGCTCAACTACAAGGGCCAGACTATGAGCTGGCTATGTGTAGTCCTGATAGGGGCACAGGCAGTGGGGCATACACAGTGAGAGTTGGGGCCAAGGGCAAGCAGGCTGGGTGGATGGGTACAGATGCAGAGGTGGGTGGGTGTGTGTGAGAGAGAAACTGGTGGGTGCCAGAGTGGCACACATCCAAACAAGCATACGTTACTTCAATATTAGTGCACAAGACAAAACCCACTCCACTCACAGATAGAAAATCTTAGAGGAAATACTGGGCATCACCACTAAGGATGAGATCAGTTACTCTAAAGCTTTTGTTGACTACTTTTCCTCAATTATGATCCTTTGTTCTTCACCTTTATTGATCATGACAAAATTAGGTTTTTTTTTTTTTTTTTTTAAGTAACAAATTAATGACCTTTCCATTACTAACAGGAAAGGAAGTGTTACTTAAGGCACAACATGGATAAGTCTCAGTCTGGACTCAAGTATAGTAAACAACTTCTCTCAAATCCTTTTACAAGCTATTGCCTGCCTACTGAAGTTTGGGGTCAGTTTCTGTGACTGGAGAAAATATTCATCTAGTCTTTCCTAAACTCTAAAATAGAACAATTGTTCAGTTTCTTGTCTGGTATCATAACCTCATCTTTATTATTGTCTTACTATTTGTTATGCCATTCCCATAATTTAACATGTTAATTAATCAACAGATTACAGTAAATTACACAATGTCAACAAAATGCTTTGCATACATACCATGGTGATGTAAAGATCAAACAATTTAAAGTGTCTTACTTGGTAACAGATGAATTAAAAGTACTCAAGAATTTTCCTTCAGAGCGTCTCAATTAAGACATGTTTTATGAGTTGAGGCTGGCTTCTTCATTTGAAACTTTTTCCAGGCTTGCTGGATTCCTTGCCTTGCCTGATGTTAAAATGATTTCATACTTTTTATTCTCCTTTTAAATTATTCAAGCACCCCAAACATTCACATTTATAACAGATCAGAGTAATTTATTTGAAGACATCTGACGATATTTCAGTCTTCTAGTTAATAAAATATACCACACACTAGAAAAAAAGAACACTGTCATTTGATATTACCACAGCAATTGATTTCTAACAGAATTGGATTGGGATTTTTTTTAGGAATTATTAAATTCTCATTTGCTGCTCTTCTCTGCCACTGTTTCTTTTACAGACATACATTGTGTAGTCAATGTGGCCACTGATTAGCATATAACTGCTATGGAGGCACATTATTTATATAAACCTCTTCAGGTGCCTGTCACAGTTATGGTCAGGTGCCCCTTGCAGATCAACTACTGAACTTCTATGAAGGGAATCCAAGCATGAAACCTTGGATGGATTAAACCTTCCTTGGCCTATGGCAGCGGTTATCAATGCCAGGCCATGGACCTCTAGGGGCTGGGGCTTTCACTGTGGCTGTTAGGAGAAGTGTGTCCTGCCCTGCCTCTCAGCCAACCAGTACAGGGCAGGGACAGGGTCTCCTCCCAGCTGCAGAAGAGCACTTCCCTGCACTGCAGGAAGGCCATCTGGAGCAGCTCCATGAAGCCCTCCTGCCATGCAGGGAAGCGCTCTTCCACAGCCAGGAGGAGACCCTGCACTGCACAGCCCTGCTGCAGTGCAGGGAAGCACTATTTTGGTACTAGTAGAAGACCCGGTTCCTGCCCAGCACTGGTTGGCTGAGGGGTGGGGCAGGACATGTCTCTCCCAATGGCCGTGGTGGGAGGGGTGGCACTGGGCAGAGTACCCCAGCCCTGGCCTCCAGAGCTGCTGTGACGTGGGCAGCAGTACAGGGCTAGGTGAGGGGGGCGGGCAGGCACTGGGGGCTCCAAGGGTAGGGCTAGTGCTGGGTGGCTCTGGAGACTGAGCTAGTAGTGTGAGGGGGACTATGGGGACAGTGCTAATATTGGGGGCTGACACTAAGGGGGCATTTGGCAGGGATTGGATGCAGTGGGGCTCAGGAAACAGGTATTGGGAATCTGGTGGGGGGGGTTCTAACAGGCAAGGGGCTGGCACAGAGATGTTTGGAATGGGAGGTTGGCACGGGGGGGTGGCTTTGAGGGCAGGAGGCTGGTACTGGGGTTTGGTGTTAAGGGATTCTAAGGGGCACGGGGCTGGCACTGCGGCATTTGGGATGGGGGGCTGGCACTAGGGGGGGTCTTCTAGGGCAGGAGGCTGACACTGAGCGGGGTGATGGGGACTCTTTGGGTAGTGGAGCGGTAGGGGGCTCTAGGTGTTAGAGTTGGCACCAAGGGCTGAACATTTTATTTGCATAACTACATATTCATCATTTTCATAATGAATATGTACATATGCAAATAAACTGTTACCAGTCCACTAAAAGTTTGTGAATGGGTTTGCCAGTCCCTGGTATAAAAAAGGCTGGGAACAACTGGCCTATGGCACATTTCCTAGTCACTGACTCTGTTACTTCTACACAGAGTTTCTCAGCCCCACATGTTCAAGCCCCACAGGATTAACGCTGACCCTCCAAGAGCTACCTATTGCTTAAACACACTCCATCCCAGAATTTCACCGGAAAATGTAATCCTAAATGTGATTTACAATTAATTCATTCAGGGGGCACATGTCTTTACAAAGCATATAACAGACACTTGCACCAGAGCCTAACAAACTTTGACTAATTCTATGGTACCGCCCCCAGCCACAGTGTCTCCTATCTGAGGTTGTGGAGCTCTGTTCCAGGTAAGTAGCAGGCCATATTATTTTTCATTTCGACTGGAAAGTTATCATGATTTTTCTTTTCCCTTTCCATAATAAGTGTATAGAAGTGGCCAGATTTCTGTTAAACACATTAAACAAAACCCCCTCACTGCCCTTCAGGCAACTGTATGGTAAAAATCAAAATTTAAAAAGAAACTTGCAAATATTGAGGCCCTTAATATTGAGGGAATGTAAAGTTAAGTAACATTAGGATAAGTGATCTACAAAATTATTTGGAAAATAAGTTTATGAGAGAAGTGTCTGAACTTGATGAGGAGATCTCTGTAGTATGGTTTCTGGATCCTTATATTCATTTGCTGGATTCATCACAGCTGCATATATATCACTGTAGGCTCTGCAGACCAGTTCTGTGGACTGTTTTATTATTTGCTCTCTGAAAAACCAAAAAAAGTTATGTAAACAGATTATACAGTAAAATTAAGATCTTAAATCTACAACAGAATGTGTGCAACTGATTTTCCACTATCCAAGATATTTGGATGCATCACAAGTCCTTCATGTCAACAGTGAAAATAACCAGCTTAGTGTTTACAACAAAAACAATTTTTGCATCTGAGTACTATACACACTTAAGACCATAAATGTGATCTTGATAAGCATGGAATAAGTCTCTATTTCTGCAACATGAAAAATTGAAAAGAATGGAATAAATGACATTTAATTTGCATACATGATCTTAACTCCAATTTAAGATGACTATCAAGTGGCTTTCCTCAGCTGATTTTTTTTTTAATAGAGTCCAAAATGTTTTCCTTCTGTTGTGATAGGCTCTCACAAAATATGGCTCAAATGTTCCCAGTTCTGTCCAACATGCTTTTATATTTTATTTTGAACAAAAACAATATTAAAATTCTGTCATCTTGTTAATTTGCAAGGCTAGAAATGAATGTTACTGAAAGTAGAAGACTGGACATTAAAATCATAACATTCTGATTTCCAGAAAACATTGTATCATTTTAAACAATTAGTATTTTTTTCATTCTACTTGTATGTTCAATTTGCTTTGGTTTCCATAACAACTTGCCTATAATTATGCATATCTACAGTACACAGCTAGATGTAGCTCAACAGTACAGTCATTGTAACTTCTGCTCTGTAGGTTCACAAACATCAGCCATTTTCAATTACATCAAGATGACATCTGGTGTAAAATGCAGTACCAGAGATGACAGCAGAGTTATATCCACTAGTGCCATATTTCAGTTTGGTACTACATCAGCTGGATTAGTGGGATTTAAGAAGTTAATAAGCTTTTAAGACATTTATTTGTAAGTCTTCAACTATTTTTCAGCAATTCCCTACTTTTAAATATATGAATGCTATGCAAGAGATTTTTAGCCAATCCGCAGAAATAAATTATCAAATTGTATTTTCTTTTGATATGCTACTAAGAAGCAGTCCTTTGGATTTCCTAAATGTCTTGGTTATTACAATACATGTAAATGATTCAAACCCATAACTGCAACTTTTGAAGTACTGCAAGTACAGAAATACACTCATTTTTTTGGGTAGATAGGTACCAACTCTCTTTTCTGCACAACCTAAAAATGTTAAACTGCTGATGTGTGAAAATCATTAAGCAAATGTTATGCAACACCTCATCTGGAGCTGGCAAACTAAATTACATAGAATAATATACAGTTACATATCATTGGATTGAAAATCAGTTTATTAAAAATATTTTTATTAAGTACTGAATTGCATCAACACCTGAGCCTTTTCAACAACTGATGTCAGTGGGCCCCGTCACCAATTATTGCATTCAAATTTCAGATGCCATAACATGATACAATTTTTATCATACAAACCATTGCATTTTCTGAAAACTGCATCTTAATTTCAGTTTCTATTTTCCTACTCAAACTAAAAATGTATTATAGTCATAACTACAATATTGATACATAGCTTTCAAACATAGGCATTTTCTTAATTTCGAAAGAAGGGTAATGGGATACTCTAATAAATATGAGAGAGTTTTCTAAAATTTTTTCCTCGTTATAGCACTTAAATGTTACAAATGAATTATCAGAAATAGTCAATAATATGGCTAATCGCTTGCCACAAGTACATGACCTGTTTTATAGAGACAGACAATCATTTTTCAGCTCCCAACAAGATAGAACAAGTGTTCAGCATGCTGGCATGGGGTAGATTTATACCCCAGTTCGTTTTGAACTAAGTGCTCTCACAGGCACATTCAGAGTCTGGTATACTACCACATAATTTATTGTATTAACAATACATTTAAAATATAGGGTATTTTGTCAGTTTTTACATTAGCTTTTCTCTGGACAGTCTTCCTGATGTCCTGACATCATCAACCCCTGTCTAGCTGTATTCCACATTCCTTTCTTTCTTTCCTCTGAAGAGTATCAGATATACTTCTACATCGGATGGCTGTTTGGAAGCCTACATGAAGGCTGTGTCTAGACTGGCCAGTTTTTCTGGAAAATCAGCCGCTTTTCCGGGAAAACTTGCTAGCTGTCTACATTGGCTGCTTGAATTTCCGCAAAAGCACTGACTTCCTACTGTAAGAAATCAGTGCTTTTTGCGGAAATACTATGCTACTCCCGTTCAGGCAAAAGTCCCCTTTGCGCAAAACTTTTGCGCAAAAGGGCCAGTGTAGACAGCTGAGATTTGTTTTCCACAAAAAAGCCCCGATCGCAAAAATGGCGACCGGGGCTTTTTTGCGCAAAAGCGTGTCTAGATTGGCACGGACGCTTTTCCGAAAATGCTTTTAACAGAAAACTTTTCCGTTAAAAGTATTTCCAGAAAATCATGCCAGTCTAGACGTAGCCAAAATGTGTTGGTGCTGTTAACTCAATTACTAATAGATCCCACAGCTGCACCATTTATTTACTTCTATTATTGATCCACAGCTGCTCAAAGTAGCAGGGTCCATGAGATTCTGCATTTCTGGAGGTATTCTTGGTCTCTCTCAGTGGGGGTGTGGGGCTGTTGCATACTTGTCTGTCTAGCTCCCCATGAACTGAGATCACTGAGGTTGTCTCCTGAACCTGCTCTGCCATTGCTGTGGTGCTGTTCTGCTGACTCTTGTCATGAAGGGCTGAAAGGCACTGTAGCTTACACACCATTTTCTCCAGGAACTGAGAATGATAGCTGTGGCTGTAGCTGAGACTGTAGAGATTAGGAACATCTGTGGATAGAACAGCTCACTGAACAGGCGAGGAAACAGGCGAGAGAAATGCTATTCTCTCGCGCTATATAAAAAAGATTTTCCCGCTGGATGACAAAACGACATCATCATGCTCTCTCACTCTCTGGTCGTGAAAGCCCCGCTTCCTATGCCGGGGTCAGCAACCCATGGCTCCCAAGCCAAATATGGCTCTTTTGCAACTCCTCCTCAGTCCCCCTTTGCTCCGCTGCCGCAGCAGGGAGCCCATGCTGGCGCTCCAGCCTCACAACCACCTTGCGAGGTTGGAGCATCAGCGGTGGCCTGGAGGACAGAAAGCCCCAAAGCTCCCCACCAGATCCGGTTTGGGGGGGAAGAAGTGCAGCTAGAAGCAGCTGTGCGTGCTGCCGCTTCCCTCCCCACTCTCCTGGCTGGGGGAACAGAAGCGCAGGGACGCTACTCTGGAATTTGGCCAATAGGAGCAGCAGGCGGTACCTGAAACATGGGGTTGGGAGCCACGTGAAAGCAAGTAAGTGGCCTCCCTCTCCTAATCCCCAGACCCCTCACTCCCAGCTCACTCACTCACTGCCCTGCTAAGACCCTGAACACCAGCCCGCTCACTCACCCCTTTCACTGAGACCCTGCAAGTCCAACCCCCTCACTCATACCCCCCAAGCTGAGACCCCTCACCCTCAGTCCCCTCACTCACCACTCTGCTGAGACCCTGTACTCCCAGCCCAGATCCTACTTCCCCCCCACATTCCTTCCAAGAGCCCGAACCCTCAGCCCGCTCACTCACCACCCTGCCGAGATCCTAAACCTCCAGCCCACTCATTCATACCCCAAGCCAAGACCCTGTGCCCCCACCTCCCTCAAATACTCCCTCCACCAAGACCCTGCGTCCCCCAGCCTACTCACTCATCACTCTGCTGAAACCCCACACTCCCATCTCCTTAAACCAAGACCCTCTGTACCCCCTGCTCTCTCACTCATACCCCCCCAGTTGATACCCAGCCCCCCCAGTCCGCTCGCTCACTGCCCTGCCAAGACTCTAACCCTCACCCCCCTCAAGCCAAGACACACCCCCAGACCTCTCACTCACCACCTTGCTGAGACTCTGCACCCGCGGCATGCTCACTCATACACCCCAAGCCAAGAACCCGCATTCCACCCCCCTCACACATACCCTCCACCGAGATCCTGCACTCCCGGTTCCCTCCTGTACCCTCCCCCCTGGCCAGACACCCTATCCCCATCCTGCTCCTGCACCCTCCCCCTTAACTCACACCCTACTCTCAACCTGCTCCTGCACACTCTCTTGCTCCTACACCTCTCCCCTGGCCAGACACCCTATCCACTCCCAATCTGCTCCTCCACCTTCCCTCCTGGCCAGACACTGCACCTTCACCCCACCTCCTACCCAAACCTTGCACCTTCACCCCCTGCCCAGATCCTGCACCCCCATTCTTAGCTCAATCACTGGCAGCCCTGTCCTACACACTTAACCCCCATTTTTGGCCTCACCCCAGAGCTTAGCCGGGCCCACAAAAGTCCACTAACCCTGGAACCACATAGGAGTTAATCTGGTATGAAGTCTTGAACCTTAGTCTTCCCTACCCCTCCCCCCACCATGGGATTGGAGCACCAGGGTAGTGAGGTGTTTCAGTTGGGGGGCACATCAATGAGGGTTGGGGTTTTTGGAGGGTTGGAGGGGAGCTGGCGAGTACAGTGGCTGGGGGGGTGTTGGTGTGTATAGCAAGCAGGGGGCACAGTCCCCTAGTGATTCTTAACTTTATAGTTGCAAAAATAATTTTTCAGTCATATATACAATTATTTTAGTGGCAAGACAGTGTCCTGTGCAACACATACATGCAAATGGACAGTTAATATTGCTGATTCTATAGTATTAAAATAATACATTCAATGTCATAGTAACAGTTTTTCATATGATACTATATAATCTGTATTTTCACAAAGTGCCAAAAATAGCGACAAGACACTTTTTGATCATGTAGCCTCTATAATTTTTTTTGCATGTAAATGTTATATAATATCTTCACGAGCTTCACATTTAATTGGAAAGAAATTTTTGACATATCCTAGCCTCAGGGTTGAGTATGCCCATATCTGTCATTTTAAAATATTTTTATGAAAACAAGAGGAGAAAGATCCATAATAAAATCCTTACTTTGAATATTAAAGTGGAAGTTACAAAATTCAGCAAAAACTAATTGTAGCACTATATTAAATGACACAAGAATATCAGTATTTTACGGTGATGTGCAAAGAGGTTGCAGAATTCTGTAAAGTTGATGTAGAAATAGAGATAAAAAATGTTATATGGGGAATTGCATATTTCACATATCTTTGCAAGGCTTATAAAATAACAAAAGCAATTCCCAACAGCGATAAAAAACTGATAATGATGCAGGGAACATACTCTAAATCAGGGGTGGCCAACCAGTTAGACACGAAGAGCTAAAAGAACTGTGGATAGTAGTGCAAAGAGCCACACATCCCTCCCCCAGAGCCAGGTACCTCCAGCCCTCTCCCTAGCCCAATGCCCTCCCTCTCCTCCAGACCCAGACCCAGGCCCCCCCAGACCTCTCCCATTCTAACCCAATGCCTGGGTCTCACCGGAGCTACCATTGCCACAGCCACGCACTTCTCCCTCCAGGAACTGGGGCGTGTGTACAATGCAGGCATGTGGCTCCGAACAAGCCGTAACCCTGATAGCTGCATTTCTGTGAGCAAAGAGCCGCACCTGGCTCAAGAGCCACAGGTTGGCCACCTCTGTTCTAAATAGATTAGTCTCAGAGAGGCAGCTATATAAACCAGGTTTTCCCAACCTATGGGTCGCCATTACATTTCAAAAGGGTCGCCAGGTGTCTCCCCAGGTAGCTCTTAAGGAGCCATTCACACATTTTTTGAATTGCCCAGGGTCACCAAGTCTTCCTCAATTGTCAAAATGGGTCCCCATCTGGAAAAGGTTGGGAACCGCTGATATAAACGAGTGTCCATACTATCAAAGCCGTTATTTTGAAATAATGGGTCATGGAATTCGAAATCTATACTCCTACTGTTCATCAGGAGTAACGCTAATTCCAAAATAGTCATTTCGAAATAATAGTAGGTGTGGACATTCCAGTGTTATTTCAAAATAATTACTCCCAAGAGTAATTCAAACTAATTACTCCCCCGTGTTTCCTGGGGCTCTAAGTCCAAGGTAGTTCATCAACAATAATGGAGCCTGCTATGGACTAGTTTCGAGGCTTCCCTGTACTGTGGACATGTTAACTCCTGATTTAACAAATTCGAACTAAGTCAAATTGAGTAATTTTGAAATACTTTCCTAGTGTAGACATGGCCTCAAAGACTAACAAAAATATATAGTGTCATGAGCTTTTGTGGGAAAACCCACTTCATCAGATGATGAGTTGGAGCAGAAATAACAGAAACCAAGTTATTTATAACAGAAATTAGCGAATGAGGCTAATTAAGTGGGCTTCAAGTGTCCCATACTTAGCTTTTGATGTAAAAATGCAGTGTTAAAGGCAGAGGAGAACTGTGAAGTTAGTGTGACTCATTGGTTCACCAAGGTCAGAAGGGATCTTTCTGATCATCCAGTCTGCCTTTCATAGAACTTTGCCAAAATAATTACTAGAGCAGATTTTTTAGAAAATCATCCAATCTTGATTTAAAAATTGTCAGTGATGGAGGATTTATCACAACCGTATATTGTTCCAATGGTTAATTACACAGTTTAAAAATGCATGCCTTATTTCCAGTCTGTATTTGTCATGTCAGTATGTTGATGGACTCTGGAGTAGCTAATTTAGAAAATTATAAAATTACCCCTTACTAACTTCTTGCTCAAGAAAGTGTAACCAAAACAAATTAAAATAAAACCTGAAAGCATATCTGAACAGCATTTACAGTTGAATAATTCCACTTCTAACAGTCTGCTCTATTCCACTCATGTCTTTGTTTTTGCACACCAAAAAGGCAGAGAACAAACATTCAGTCAAAACACTTACTTCACAGTAGCGCTAAGAAGAAAATTCAGTTGTGGCATTAACAGATTATCGGGAGCAGACAAGTAACGATCAAACTGAACCTAGAAGTAGTAATAAAAAGTTAAGAGAGTTTGGCAAAATATACCACCCCAAAGCACCAAAAATATTTTACAGGAATGTAGGTTTACAGGGAGGGTTTAGTATATTGTTCATTTGCAGAAACACAGCTGCAATTCCACTCAACACAACTGAGTTGCACTGGTGTTATTTTACAACATAAAATGAAGAAAAAAAGGCTACATAGACATAATAAAAGGGTAGATTTTTGTCTGCAGAATCTTTACTTACAGTGACAGTGTATGAAACAAAATATACAGCATGACCTACACAACCCAGTGTAAGTGTTTTAAGCCTAGAGTTCCGAAAAAAATACTTTTTTTCATTTATGAACTCAGCAAGTTTTATATGGAAATCACTGGATTCAAGTAGCTGTGGAACTCTAAAATGCCATTTGTTTATGTAGTCACCTTTTCAGAGAATTGTACTTTAAAGTTTTTTTGAGAAGATTGACAGTTCATTTGTAACTAGCTATTGAACTGTGAGATTGCATCTGTGCCATTTAACATTTGTACATTCTTTAAGATGAAAAGCATTAAAAGATAATTTGTTTTTAAACTTACAGTGTAATGAAACTTAATACCCCCAAAAACAAACAAAAAATCAACTGTGACGTAGGACCGGGACCTAACTTTTGAGCTTCACTGAATTATTTGCATAAAATGAAAACTTTACTTTTCCCTATTATTTATAACTATAATTCCTATATTTCAAAGCACTGAGGCAAAAGAAATTTCAGGTGATTAGAACTCATTAGAATTACTATTTGCTCTCGGCAATTCAAAATATTTCACTGTGTAATATTATTGTATGTAAAACTGGTTCTCAAGGCTTAGAAACTTGATAGCCTTATTACCAGTTCACAAATAAGCGTATATTTATACTGCTTCATCAGGTTAAATGCTCATTATCAGCTAGCAGGAGTAAAAGGGAGGGGGGAAATTTTTAGCCCTTGGTGGCCTCACTGAGAGCACGGAGGCAACAGACTGGATTTCTTAAGTCAGCCTTTTCCACTGGAGCAGGGATTTACCTTCCTCAGACCTCAGGCCCAAATGGGCTGTGCCCTGGGCATGGCGCTCCTACCCCTGACTTTTGTACCTGCAGGGTTCCCTCCTGGTATCTAAATGTGTTCCTGCTCTCCAGTAGTATGTCCTCCTAGCACACTACTGAACTGATTGAAGGAATGGCTTTTTAACCTATTCCAGCTGATCCTTGATCTCCTCCAGGTCTTTTAATTAACCTAAGTGCCTCCACTAGTTAACGTGGATTCTTGATTGATTCCAGGTGTCTTAAGGAACCAGAAGTTGGCCTTATTTGGTTACCAGGGAAACAGGAACTTGTTTAACAAGAGACTAATATACCTGTTTTCTGCTACTCTCTTGGCCTGAGTCATGCCACAATATGTGTTATGACAGAAGGCACTCCTAACAGAATTAAGCCAAACTGTGTATTTGGTTTTGATTCTATGACCCTTATAGTCATAGTTATGTTTTCATCTAGCTGTAGGTCTTAATACATCATATTGTTTGGAAAAGAAAAAAGATCATTCATCTTAATCAGAAATTATTCAAGAATACAATGGGGCATTTTGATTCAAATGGTAACGTTTGTTATTATAAAGCTGATTAAAAGACTTGAAGAGTTTACTTTTTTTTCAACTGTTTCCATAGCAGTCATGTCACAAAGAAATTCTGTAATGTTATGTTGGGTCATTACTATAGTCTAAGAAGTTATATTGCATCACATAATAAAAACAAACAATCAGGGTTGTGTTTTTTGGAATAGTTTCATTGTTTCTAATAGTGGGCATTTGACCTGCTGAAGTAGTATAAATATAAACTTATTTGTGAACTGGTAATAAGGCTATCAAGTTTCTAAGCCTTGAGAACCAAAGATTTACTTACAATAATATTACACAGTGAAATATTTTGAATTGCTGAGAGCAAATAGTAATTCTAATGAGTTCTAATCACCTGAGATTTCTTTTGCCTCAGTGCTTTGAAATATAGGAATTATAGGTATAAATAATAGGGAAAAGTAAAGCTTTCATTTTATGCAAATAATTCAGTGACGCTCAAAAGTTAGGTCCTGGTCCTATGTCACAGTTTCAGTACACTGTAGGTTTAACAAATTATTATTAGTAAAGAGGTTAGACTATCAGCTATAGTGAGATACTGAGGAGAGGAATTAAACAGTGAGTTGATATTTTTTCCAGACAGGAAGAGAGAATACTCATCATACAGCTACCCAGAAGTGCAGGACCCATTACAGGGGAATAGAAGCTCTGCCACAATAGCTACAAGTTTAATTTAGTATATTATGTATGTTTTTCTTAGAATTTTTTCTTAAACCTCTTAGAGAGGGATGGATGGATGGATGGATGGATGGATGGATGGATGGATGGATGGATGGATGGATGGATGGATGGATATTAAGCTACAAAAACATAATGCAGATTCTTAGATAAATATTTTAGCTTACAACTATAACAATATCCCTCCAAAAGTCAGAGCAACAACACGGCTCAATATGAAATTGCAAAAAGCTCACCATTGCAGCCTTCAGTGACACTGAATCCAAACTAGGCATGTTTGCCAGAGGACCCTAAAAATAGGTAATCCAAATAAACAGTTTTACACACGAGTGGATAAAATGTGAAAATAATTATAGATTAATATTTTATTGTAATCCAGTACTAGATTGTAAAATCTTTGGGAACAGGGAGCATGTCCCACTACCTGTTATAATGGCAACAACTACACCAGCAGGCATAGGAAAGCAGTAATACATTCACTGAAACAGGCCACTTATTTCCCATAACTTTTTTAAACTAAAACTGCGTTCCTCATGTGTCCTCAAACCATCCTCTCCTCTCTTTTCATTACCAAATATCTCTACAGTCCCCACCATTTTGCGGTATTATAATTTGTTTCATGGAATCAGTATAATCTAGAACAGAGTTTGAAAACAGGTTTAGAATAGGAATGGGCCTCTGCTGACCAGGAAATCAAATTTAGTATCTTAATGGGGTTTTAAAAATGCTTGTTTAACATTATTTCCCCACTGTGTTGGGGATTCTCTCTCTCTTCTCCCTCCCTCCCTCTCCTCCACAGGTTTAGGAAACAACAACAGTAAATCTAAGTACCCTCCTCTCCATACTACCCTCTCTCTAAACACATGCTTAATTTTCATTTTTAATCATGGAGACCTCTTAGGAGAATTTTGAGTTCACTGAAGTTAAGAGACAAAAAACAAAAATCTGTCTGAAAACAAAGAAATGTAATAATATTTGTAATATCACAAATAAGCTGCATGAAAAGATGAGCTATGATTCAAGGGTTTCAGCAGATAGTAAAAAATTGGCAAGCTAGTTCTAATGATCTTAAAGTTGAGAGTCACAACTGAGAACAGACAGTTTTGACTGAAACTGTTGAAAGTGTGATGCTATGTATGCCATTCACTGCTGAGAAAGTAAATACTTACATGCTCTGGTTTGTGCTGCTGTATAGACTTGTATATGCAACTTAGACCGGCTCTAGTCAACACACAGGAAGCTTGTTCATTTATTAGAGTATCCAAATGTGCTTCAATCTGAAATTTGAAAGCAAGAAATATTAGGTAGAAATTATTTGTACGCTACAAAGTGACAGTTTAGTAGTCATCCATAAAAATCAGCTCAGCATAAAAGGAGAATGAGCACCTACATAAAACAAATATGCTAGCATATTTGTTCAAGAGGATTTTGCCAAAAGCTCTACGTAGGCAGACCCTGTGCTCAGATGAAACCCCCTCACTAACTCTAGAGGTGGTTGTCTCGGACATGCCGGTCTATCCATATTGTAATACTACGTCCTAAATGTTCAAATCTGAAAAATCCATTGCCATGAAAGACAAACATTAAGAATTTAATTCTTCAAAAAGTTATACAAGTTGAACCACTCTAGTCTGGTTTGGCTCCGTTTAGGTCCCAAAGGTGTCAAAGAATTTGTTGGACCATGGGAGGTCAGTATTGTCGAGCCTCATTATCAATATTTTCACTGCTTACTTGGCTCTTAGAAGACATTTAGAGGTAAATTAGAGCTAAACAACACAGAACACAGGGTCACGACTAGTGGCTGTAAACAAACTTCATGGGAAACTAGGCTGCACACATAAATGGCCATTCAGTTATTAAAATCATGCTGGACTTCGGATGTTGCTGGACCAGAGAGTTCTGGACTAGAGAGGTTCAATCTGTTGTAAAATATCAAAAATGGAATGATATAGTTCATTGCAACTACATGACAGAAATATTTAAATTCTTATTGAAAATGCTGAAGAGCGCAAGATATAGCTATATGATCAAACAAAATAATAAAATCATTAAATTGCACAAAGAAAATAAAAACAATCTAAATCAGTTAGAAAATCAGTACAGGATTAAAAGACCATTTAATTTATTTTAAAGAAAGTTAATTACAAGCACCTATTCAAAAATGAGGCAATGAAGAGCTGTATATAAAGTCAACTTTGCTTTTATCATCTTCAGAAAATGCTTCCCTATTACTTCTGAAACATCAAAAATCCCATATATTCATAGAATAAGAACGTAAGAACAGCCATCCTGGGTCAGACCAAAGGTTCATCTAGCCCACGGGTGGCCAACCCATTTAACAAAGAGAGCCGAAACAGTGGCGGAAGAAATGCAAACAGCCGCACCAGAATTGTCAAGCTAAAAAAAAAGGAGGCTGCCCCTTTAAGGAGCAAGCAAGCTTAAGCTTTTTAGCCATATCAGGCTCCCGGTGATGGCCACTATCTTGGGCACAATTTTGAATCACCGACCCGGTGAGCATAGGGAAGCCGGGGGAAGGGAGGGAAAGCCGGGGGACATTTGGGGAGGGCACAGGAGTGGCTTCGTAAGCCACACTTTTTTGGGGGAATAGCTGCGTGGCTCATGAGCTGCGGGTTGGCCTCAGCTGATATAGCCCAGTATCCTGTATTCTGAAAGTGGCCAACACCAGATGCCCCAGAGGGAGTGAACAGAATAGGTAATCATCAAGTGATTCCTCTCCTGTCATTCATTTCCAGCCCCTGACAAACAGAGGCTAGGGACACCATTCCTACCCATTCTGGCTATTAAGTATCGATGGACCTAACCTTCATGAATGTATCTAGTTCTTTTTGGAACTTGTTGAAGTCCTGGTCTTCACAACATCCTCTGGAAAAAAGTTCCACAGGTTGACTGTGGGCTGCGTGAAGAAAACTTCCTTTTGTTTGTTTTAAACCTGCTACCTATTAATTTAATTTGGTGACATCTAGATCATCCTATTGGGAATAATTTTACAATTTTTGTGCAACTGCAACTTTGCTGGAGATTATAAACAAAGAACCCAAATACAATCAAATCAACCTAAAGAAGCAGCAATTTTCTTTTTCAGGTTTGAGTGGCCTTAGAAAGAGGTGACAATATCTACTTTTAAAAAATACATAGTCCTCAATTTGCTTAATTTCTCTTCTAGTTTATACAAGAAACCCAAACTTCTATTACAGCACAAAGAGTCCAATTTAATAGATATAACTGATACAGAACCTTTATTAGGTATCCTACAAATGTTTGATATCAAGAGAGATCATAAACTTCTAAAGAATTTATCGAAACAAGACTATAATACATATTTTGCTCCTGATCTCTTAGGAAAGCCTAGTATCTGAATACAGTGATTTCAATTATCTTAAAAAGGTCTCCATTTTCCTATTCAGTAAATTATTCTTGATGAACACACCCAATAACTGCTTCCTTTTCTACACTCATCTATTTTAAAATCAGTAACATTCTTTTGCACGACCTCAAGATATCCCTTCCAATGTAGTTCTGTAAAATGTTTCCAGAAAGTGAATCTGGATTAGTAGCAAATGTTTCCCACTTAGTCTCTAGGTCTTGAATTGCAGAACAAACGAATTCTAGAATTATCTTAACACTCACTACTAGTTTGGTTTTAGACTAACTGGATTTTTTTATTAGTTCAAGTACCACAGTTTGTAATGCTAATGGCATAGTGGTGACAATGAAGAGGCATAAGGGATAAACCTCCTATAATATCCTCGTAAATATGACAGGAGAGTCACTAATTAAAAACTTAGGAAACACAAGGGGTTTCTTTGGATAGCAAGGAAACATTTTAAAGAACAAACCTGGACATGGGATTCAAGTTGTGGGCATTAATCTCTAAATATGGGTTGTGCCCAATGTGTTCCAAATTAAGTTTAAAAAGCCTATATTTGAATGTCTTAGTGAACTGTGGATAGTGTTACGATTACTTATTTTAATATTATAATATTACAATATTTTGGTATGTTTAGTAAAAAAAATATTGGGGGAAGGGAGAAGCTAGTATCTAATCCTAGCATGGATGTATTCCCAGATATAAGGAAATAGAATTTGATTACTCATAATTTGAGGCCAGAAAAGCTCACCAAATTGTCTAGTTCAAGCATCTCAAATTCATGGCCTATGATCCATCCACAGCCGGAGCAGCTGCATAATTCAGCCCAGGAATCGTTTAAACTACAATAGAGAACTGTATTTTCTGCACCACCTCAGACGCAGTGCAAAGGCTTGGGGAAGGCAGGGGTAACAGAGGAGCTGAGGAAAGGGGGAGTAATTGCTGAGAAGAAACCAGGATGTCAACTTGGCAGGTTATTGTGTATGGACGGGAAAAGTATGAAACAGGATTTTAGGGAGATGGGGAGAGACTGCTGGAGCTTTTCACATGCAGACCCTGCCTGACCCTTAGCATCTCCCATTCAGTCAGATATATCTGTTGCTGTCCCCGGGTATCCCTGCACCACAATATGTCCTTGCACACCCCAGTCCATGAGCTCCACCACCAAAACATCATCTCTCTCCATCCTCATGTGTCCCTGAACCCCTCTTCCCAGAGGCCCTGAATTTCCATTTTACTAGCCCTTATGATCTCCTCTGTGATCCCTACAGCAGACCAATGCTATCAGTCTCCCCTTATCTCCTCTCTTTGTTCTGTAGCTGATCAGAAGTGGCTGCTCTGCTCTAGCACCATAGTGCCACATGGTAGAGAAAAAGGCAGAAGCTATTTTCTGCTAATTAATTAAAAATATGCATGGCACATTAATTGTGTGCACACAGAAGTGCAGAATTCCCCCCAGGAGTAGGTCATTAGGGATGTTTTTTATATTGTTTATACTTCCATTTTCTTTAAGTATTTCAGATCACTTGTCTTAAAATGAGTCACTAGAATAATAAATACTTTCACTTATATTGATTTACATTCAGATAAAAAACAGAGGCCAAAATTTTCAAACCTGAGTCCTGAAACGTGACTCCTAAAATCAATGTTTAGGTGCCTAAGAAAGAGGTGTAATTTTCAAAAATGCTATGCACTTTCAGCTGTCACTGATTTTAGTCGAAGTGGGGCTGTTCAGCACCCATGAAAATGCCTCATTTAGGTGCCTACATATGGATTTATAAGCCTAGCTTAAGGCACCCATATTTGAAAATGCTGATTATGCCTGCTATTTAAGTCTTGCCAGCTACAAAACAATATGAGATTAGCTTTCTACTTATTGTTGACACTTACCTGAAATTGTAACATTTCCAGACGTTTGTCAGTGAATTCAAAGAGAGCCAGGGTAGTCTTCATCATATAAAGTGAATTTACCATGAAGGTTGCCATGTCAGCTGTGCCTAAATTACTAGCAGATACAGTACACAGCTGTAATAATGGATCTAGCACACAAGACAGAACCTAAAGGGAAATATAAACAAGAGGGGAAAATGTTTCATGAGATTCTAGACTTGTGGGATAATGACCATTTTGTCTTTATCAATTTATTTTCCAAAGCAAAACAAAAAGAAATGAGATCTAGTGGAAAATAGCTCTTGACCAGCTATCAGAATGGAGGGTGTGGCAGAAGAACCTGAAAAGAACAAATTTTACCCTTGCAGGAGATAGAGCAACTCAAAAAGAAGACTGGGGATGCACAGAATCAAAGAAATGTATGGCTGGGAGGGGCCAACAGGACATCTGATCCACCAACTGACACTGGAGCAGGACCAAGCATATGTTCACAGTATATAAATGTAACTTTGGAAAATACGTAAACTCTCAACAGGATAGTAGAAGATGGGAATTGCATTATGGCATTCCATGTTGTGATATAACTATCCATTTTATTAGCCACAGTCTTATCAGTATTACAATCTGGGGGTGGGAAAGAGCCTAAAAACAATTGGGCTACGCCTACATTGGCATGATCTTCCGCAAATACTCTTTAACGCTAGAATTTTTGATTTAAGTATTTGCACAAGAGAGCGTCTACACTGGCATGTGCCTTTGCAAAAGAGATGTGCTTCTGAGCAAGAGCATCCGTGCCAGTGTAGACGCTCTCTTGCTCAAGAAAGCTCCAATGGTCATTTTAGCCATCGGGCTTTCTTGCGCAAGAAATTCATGTTGCCTGTCTACACTGGCCTCTTGTGCAAGAACAGTTGTGCAAGAGGGCTTCTTCCTGAGCGGGAGCATCATAGTTCTTGTGCAAGAAGCAATGATTTCACACATTAGAACGTCAGTGTTCTTACGCAAGAAATCCCCGCCAGTGTAGACAGGCAGCATGTTTTTGCGCAAAAGTGGCCGCTTTGGCACAAGATCGCGCCAATGTAGACACAGCCACACAGACAAAACAAGAAATTCATGCCTCTTCAGGATTTTGTATATTGATACCAACTATATACATATTTCTCTGTGCTCAAATGAATTGTACAAATTATACCTGCACAAAGTCAGCTTGACGAGCATCCAGGGGCACAACAGATGAGTCATGGGATGCCAGAACCTCTCGTAGCAATGCAAGTGTTTGATTCAGTGCAGAGCTTGGGCCAAGATCAGGTGGTGGGAGTTCAACCTAAACAACCAAGTGTTTATTCTCTACTTGTGTCATATTCACAGGAAATAATAAGCAGCATGTATCCATGTTACTAGGTATCAATCAGCTATTCATAAAGCCACACAGTCAAGCAGAGATGGCATTCAATATTTTGACACTAGACAGATCAATAACTTTTTCAAAATATACTTGCTTACAATACCACTTATTACTCACTCGCAATAAACAAAACCAACCTTCTCTTAGCATCTCAGTCATGGTCAGCATTAAAGTTAGCAACTAGCATCATGGCTGCTTTAGAAATTAGCAAAATTAAAATCTGTAGTGGCTTGTAAACTAAAACGAAGAGGAATGGTAATACAAACTTCACAAATTATTTTTATTGAAATTTAGAGTGCTGAAGTGACTAACTCGTTATACTCTTTATATAACACTTGATAATGGAGAAATAATTTAGACACCTTGTACAGTCTCCAGGGGAAGAAAAGTAATCAAAGGAATAGAGGTTATCAAATAGAAAAAAATCTTGCAATGACTGTGCTACAAATTCCCCACAGAGGCTAGGATAACAGAACTTTCTTGAATAAAATCTTAACCAAAAATGGAGGACAATTTTCCTCTTGTTCATACACTTTCATAATCTGTATATTTAGTAAACAATTAAGGCACTGTGAATTATCTCCCTGTTGTTGATTAACAGATTGAACAAACAGAAAATGTAGATCACATTCCTTTTGATAGGGCATAGCTCAATGGTACAGCCCAATCTGCGGCTCATCAGGGTTCTATGGGCAGTCCACAAGACATTTTGTTTACCACTGTAAACACAGAGGGTTGCGCCAGATTCTTCTGGCTTCTATCCATTTTTTTGTACCAGTACTACTAATGTAATATGCACATATAGCAAGGTGTATGCTGATTGCACAACACTTACTGTAAAAGCTGTGTGCTTCCTCTGCAGCCAAAGCACTTCTACAATTCAAATGGTACACCCGGCTTCTAGATACAGAAGTAGTTTCCTCCTGGCCGCAAAAAAAGTGGTTCACTGCGCCGTGGGAGGGCTGTGCAGCACAGGATCGCCTCCTAGCTGTGGAGGAGTGCTCAGTGGTTTGAGCATTGGCCTGCTAAACCCAGGGTTGTGAGTTCAATCCTTGCAGAGGCCATTTAGGGATTTGGGGCAAAAATTCATCAGGGATGAGTACTTGGTCCTGCTGAGAAGGCAGGGGACTAGACTAGATGACCTTTCAAGGTCCCTTCCAGTTCTAGGCAATCTCCATTATAAATTCCCTGTGTGGCAGGAGGGCCACGCGGAGCAGCTCCATGAAGCCTTCCTGTCACACAGGGAAGCGCTGTTCCATGGCTGGGAGGAGACTCGCTCTTGCCCAGTGCTGGCTGGCTGGGGGGTGGTGCAAGACATGCCTCTCCCAACAGCTGGGGTGAGAGCGGTGTACCCCAGCCCCCAGAGCCGCTGTGGCCCAGCAGTTGGGAACCGCTGCTATAAAGGGCACAGCAACATGGTCAACTTTAAGATAATGAAACAAAATGTAAACAACTGATCTTTACTCCATTAAAGAAAAATTAGGATTTCTTTTAAAATATGACACGTTTACATTTCTGAAACAAACCTTTTCCATTAGTTTACTTGCATGTAGGCTCAGACTATTGAAGAATATCTTTTTGCTTAACAAATGCATTTCTTCTATTGTGATTAACAATGTGGCTGCGCTGTTTCCCACAATACCACTGAAACCGAAAAGAAAATATTTAGTTAAATCCAAGAAAAATATGAATATTTTAGTCAATATAATGTTCAAGAATATAACACATAGGGTGTGTCTAGACTACTGAGTTTTGTCGACAAAAGTGGACTTTTGTTGACAAAACTATACCAGCGTCTACACTACCGCTGCGTTCTGTCGACATAACGTCGACAGAACTCAGCAGTTTTGTCGACGCTGGTACACCTCATTTTACGAGGCATAACACCTTCTGTCGACAGAGTTCTGTCTACAGAAGGTGTTATTGCCTGTAGGGTTGCGTCTACAGCTTGCTTTGTCGACAGAACTCAATGTGTCTGGACGCTCTTTGTCGACAGATACTGTCGACAAAACTTCTGTCGACAAAACCCGGTAGTCTAGACGAACCCTAAGTCTAAAAGATGGAAATGCATAGTGAGCTTTCATAAAGGAAACTGCTTTCCTGTTCACAGGAAACAGCTTCCCCTATTATCTAATTTTAATAATTTGTACGTTAGGATGCTTAGTGAGAACAAGCATTACCATCCAGGATATAAAAAATAATATATTCATTAAAATAATATTGGCATTACAGTTTTGCTAAAAAGGAAATTTCTTAAGCATCCAATACAAGTTTTGCCTTGGTTGGTTTTTTTGGTTCGTTTTAATGTTTAAAACCAACAAGAGAAAATGCTAATTTTTCAGTTATATAGCAAAAAATGCAGTACATATGTGCTATTTTATTTGTTCAAGATGAGCCAGAAACATGCTACTGTTTCTCTAAATAAAATGGAAAAACACTCAACTATGTTTTTGCTATAGAGAACAAAGTCTAAATATGAGAAGTATTGATAGTGTCATTACACCCCCATTACTTTCCAAGTAAATGTTTCTCCTCATGTACAAATTGTACATTTTTAAGTGTTAGAGTTCATGCTTTGCTACTGGAAATGTACAATTTACTGGATATACTCACAACTGTTTTATACCCATATGCCATGAAACTTTTCTGTACACTTTTTGCATATGAGCTTGTCTTCTAAACTAAAAATGATCCCAAGTTCAACCATTATATCTGAGTGGGACTAATGTGACAGCCTTAAAAAATAGCTGCTTGGTTTTCAAAGGACCACCAGCCCTAGAAACGTCACCACCTCTCAAATTAGACCTTCCTACAGTAAAGCTACCCTTCTGTTTGTTCTATTTTTTGACAAAACCACTTGGCTAGTAAAACCAGTAGTATAATCTCTGACCCTGAAACAATACATTACAGACAGTAATACCTACAGTTAAAGGTGCCAAACACGTCTCATTACAAGACGTTTTTCAGTTGTTTGTAATTACCAAACTTTTCACTGTTTGGGCTAAAAAATTTATTCTGGTTTTCTTCCTCACCCCCTTCTTTTGGAAAGTTTTAGCAAAAATTGTTCAGCCATTTTGAGAACAACATTAGGGGAAAATATGTTGTTTAACTTATGCTAAAAAAATTCTTACAACTGTTTTAATGAGAAATTACACTGTTTAATGCTTTAGAGTAGGGCAGGTTGACTTTATGTCACGAATACGTTTTTTATCATTCCCATGAAAAACTACCAGGATAAAAGCATGGGAAAACAATGTACATATTCAGAGACTTGTAAAGAATTCGAGTTGAAGCTAAGATTTGCACAGGTAACTTTAATTCTGGCATTTACTAACTTTTGAGTGTTTAATTTTGTAATCTTAATGTTCTTTTAATGTAGTTTTTGTGTACAGTTCAATTTCTATAACACCACAAAGTGATAAAGAATGTCTCTATGCAGACAATTTTTTTCTGCTTACAGACAGATTTTTTTTTAAATCATTGCTGTCACAGGTCAGAGTTGTCTCTCCGCTCCATAACCTGCTGAAAACAGTCAGAAAAACAAAGCAAAATAAACAGAGGCAGTATTTTTTTACAGTATCAGAATTGATGCATGTTCAAACAGATGGTTTACTTAATGTGTTTAGTAATTTCATATACCTGATTGTATGATGATAGAACTTGAGAAGATTAGAAATTTTGTACAACAGAACTGCTCCTGGTTCAGCAACAATCACCTGCTCAATTCTGACCTTTTGGAACAAAAAATAATCATTTTTAGTTACATGCATATTGTGAAAATGAGCCTCTGTGCTTTTAAATGCATTAAAGATATTCATCAACAAACTTTGCAAGAAGCATAAGAACATTACATTGTCCATTTATATTGCAGGATTCTTCTTGAACAGTGCATTTCTTTGCAGCAAGCTGTAGGACAAAAAACAAGCAGGTGTTTGCCACTCCTTACAAATGCCCCTATTTCCCATAGAGTTTTGAGTGTAACTTGTTGCTGGTTATCTGTATATAAGATGATCATTTTCTGGATTAGCATCAGAATATTGGAATCCCACCTAACCCTGACTAGCAAGAAGAGCTGCAAAACTCCTAACATAAAACAGATCATCAATGGTGGCACTCAGAGACACAAAATAATCAGAACTGATATATTCAGGGGTTTATTTAGGTCATTTTACTGATTTAATCTCACTTCCTAGTCATGACCTCTTACCAGTACTTATCTTGAAAAGAAATGCTAATGGCAAGTAAGCGGATATATCCGAAGCTAATACAACACATTTATTTCTCAGAGGCGTAGCGGTGTTGGTCCATATCTGCAAAAGCAAGGAGGAGTCCTGTGACACCTTAACAACTAACAGATTTATCTGGGCATACGCTTTTGTGAGTAAAAGCCTCTTTGTAAAATGAAGTGATTTTTACCCATGAAAGCTTATGCTCAAATGCCACAGGACAATCCTTTTACTGACTTGTTGACTAGATCAAGTGTTGCTGGGTTACAGAGCACGATAGGCCTCACTTATTTTGTCTCTGTGGCACATGCAGCCTAAACATAATCATAAGGCAGCTGTCCCAATTTCAATTTTTAGGCTTTTATGAAGCAATCATGGCCAGTGACCACTATTCCCCATGCGCTTCTATGTTACAAATGTATATACATATTGCTAAACATTCATCATCCTTCCAAAGGATTTGTCTGCTAATCAGTGTGGCATTTCAAGGACAGATTCACAAGGAAAATTTGACACAGTGACAATAAGTGTGACATGCCTTAATTTTAGGCTCCTAAAAAGTCATGGGAATTCAGAAAGCCTGAGTTTGGCATGTAGGCTCCCTATATAATGACTACGGAAAGATAAGTGCATCAGAATGGCATTTACAAAGCCAGCACAGTAGGCAGCTCCTCGTCTAATTTAATTAATATGAGGTGTCAAGTGAAGGACATATACGAAACTTTACCCCCTTGAGGATACAGTACAAGCTTAAGTTTGGCTACAACGAGGCATTTCCCTCTTTTTGGCTTTGCATCTGCAAAGCCTTTCGGCATTATGCAGTTACACGTTTTAGCAAGAAGTTGCAGAGAGACCCTCCTTTGTAACAAAGTCAGGGTACTCACCAGGGATGTCAGAGCCCCCCCAGTTCAAATCACTGGTTCCTGGGTCTCCCATATCCCAGGTGAGTACCGTAAACATTGAGCTAAAAGTTATGAGTTCTCACTCCACAGGCAAGTTTGCCAGGCTAACACCAATCATCACACTTTCTGCTTTAGGTTTTTGTTGTTGTGTGTTATAGCAGGACAGCTAGGATGTTATGTACAGGCAGTCCCCGAGTTACGCGGATCCGACTTATGTCGGATCCGCAGTTACGAACGGGGCCCTCCCTCTCCCTGGTCTCCAGCAGACCAGGGAGAGGAAGCAAAGCCGCGGAGCACGCGGCCAGCTGACAGCCCAGCTGCCCGCGTGTTCCACCGCTTTGCTCCCCGTCCCCCTGGTCTGCAGACCAGGGGGACGGGGACCAGAGCAGAGCAGAGCAAAGCCGCGGAGCACGCGGCCAGCTGACAGCCCAGCTGCCCGCGTGTTCCACCGCTTTGCTCCCCGTCCCCCTGGTCTGCAGACCAGGGGGACGGGGACCAGAGCAGAGCAGAGCAAAGCCGCGGAGCACGCGGCCAGCTGACAGCCCAGCTGCCCGCGTGTTCCACCGCTTTGCTCCCCGTCCCCCTGGTCTGCAGACCAGGGGGACGGGGACCAGAGCAGAGCAGAGCAAAGCCGCGGAGCACGCGGCCAGCTGACAGCCCAGCTGCCCGCGTGTTCCACCGCTTTGCTCCCCGTCCCCCTGGTCTGCAGACCAGGGGGACGGGGACCAGAGCAGAGCAGAGCAAAGCCGCGGAGCACGCGGCCAGCTGACAGCCCAGCTGCCCGCGTGTTCCACCGCTTTGCTCCCCGTCCCCCTGGTCTGCAGACCAGGGGGACGGGGACCAGAGCAGAGCAGAGCAAAGCCGCGGAGCACGCGGCCAGCTGACAGCCCAGACGCATCTGGGCTGTCCGCTGCCCGCGTGTTCCGCCACTTTGCTTCCTCTCCCTGGTCTGCTGGAGACCAGGGAGAGGGAGGGCCCCGTTCGTAACTGCGGATCCGACATAAGTCGGATCCGCGTAACTCGGGGACTGCCTGTATTCCAAATTTAATTGTTTTAGTAGGATATCTAGACCTCTTAAGTAATAAGAAAAAATATGTTGTGATTTTAAACCACAGCCTCGTCTATGATGAAATGGAATGATTTGTTTTGCATTAAATTGCTTGTGTTAACAGCCTTACTTTTTATATTTACTCACTTATTTTAGACACACAGGATTGAAAATAGTAACCTTTAACATCTACAAGCATAAATATAATATCATTAAGTAATAGGGAAAAATTCTATTCCCTATAACTAAATTATTTCTTCAAATATTAGAAAATTACAAGAAAAGACATGCTTATAAGTAAGCCTAAACCATCAAAATCATATGCAATCCTGTATGTATTAATATGTAAGCAGGGAAGAAAAAATAAGTCTCTTAAAACACAAGTGCTACATTAACGCCTGTCATTTAAATGATTATGGAAAAGAAGATGCTGTGGTATATTGGCAGAAACAACCTTAGAGGTTGTGAAATACAATTTTGATTGCACGAATAATGGTGCTTTCTCCTTTGCCTCTTCTTTTATCTCCCCTCTAACTCCTCTATCCCTCTCTTAATTATTCACATCTCCTGTCAATGACATAGGAATATGTCAGCCACTGCCTGCCTTTTAATATTTAGATCACTAGACATTTTACAGTATTAGTTAACTATTCAGATAAAATACAATTCCTGGAAATAGCCTAATTCTTCTAGTTTAACACACTTGATTTATAGATTGCTTGTAAGTATGCCTTATTAGTAAATGTACTAATTTTAAGTTAATTATCCTAAAGTTATTTTTGTGGAGTCTGAATTATAATAAGCATGGCAATAGCATGAATCTGTTTTTTAGGTATTTCATCACATTTAATGAACAAGAGTTCATTTCTTTTCTATGCAATGAAGTAGAATGATTCAAAATACCATGGAGTCCACTAATCTCTCATTTATTGCACAATTACACATTAGGAATCTCAGTTAAATGTATTCGTCAGTATTTCACCCAAAAGTAACTGAGTGAAAAACACAAAATGCAATATTGTAAATCAATTTAACACTAAGTTCAGAAGTTTTCTTTCTTTTCTAGAAAGAAAAGGGAAGCTTTTATTACCAATCTCAAATCTGAACACCCTTGCACTTTGGAAGATATCAGATATTACGCAGAATGCCCCAGAACCATATATAAAATGGGAAGACCTTTTTACTTACACACACGTGCTATAAGAACAAATTTAATAAAATCTAGGGCTCTACCAAATTCAATCCATTTTGGTCAATTTCAAAGACACAGGATTTTAAAATTATAAGTGTCATGAATTCAGATATTTAAATCTGAAATTTCACAGTTCTGTAATTATAGGGATTCTGAACCAAAAAGGAGTTATGTGGGTGGAGGGGTTATTGTAGGGGGTTACTGCAGATTACAGTTCTGCTATCTTTAATTTTGTACTGCTGTAGGTGGTAACACTACCATCAGAGTAGGGAAGTTGGAGAGTGGCAGCTGCTGGCCAAGCACACAGCTCTGAAGGCAGAATCACCGACAGCAGATGTACAGAGGATAGTATGGTATGGTATTGCCACTCTTACTCCTGCAGTGCTGCATGCAGACCCGGGCCTTCAGTCAGCTGCAGCCACTCTTCAGCTGCCCAGCTCAGAAGTAGCAGTGGAGAAAGTGGCATCACATGGTATTGTTGCCCTTACTTTTGCGCTGCTGCTGCCTTTGGAGCTGGGCATCCAGCTAATAGCCTCTGACCTCCAGCCACTCAGTTCTGAAAGCAGCACAGAAGTAAGGGCGGCAATACCATGACCAGCTTAAAATAACCCTTCAAATCCCTTTTTGGTCAGGGCCATTTATTAGAGAAAAGCTGGTTCCCCCATTAAATCTGTATATCATAATGTAAAAGCACACAAGACTAGATTTCATTGGGTGGGGACCCGATTTCACAGTCTAAGACACGTTTTCCATGGTCATGAATTTGGTAAAGCCCTAATAAAATCCCTCAGTATTCAAATGAGGTATATACCTACTCGGTTATTGTCTTCAGTTGAGACATATGATAAAATAAATTTTGCAATAAAAACACAATACACCTGTAATACATGGAAGGTGCACACAAGCACACACAAACAAAATTCTCCACCTTCAGAGGTCTGCAGACACCTTCTGTGATGTGCCCAACTACTTCTTGAATATTTTCTTCCACACCTACAGTTAAAAGAAAACATAAGGTAAGCATTATGCAAATTTACTTTCATTTATTTTCTCTCTCACATTTGCTAATTTTGTTTTTCATAAGTCATACCTCTCCATAAAAACGGATTTGCGTTCACCCCAAGAATGAAATCTACCAGTCTAAGACAACTTTGAGATTCACTATTCAAGAAATTCAGAAAGCCATATTTCCAACTTCACAAGATAGCATCTTAGATGAACACTTTAGTACTCTATATTCAAACATAATTTTGGAAATATATTTAATTCTTAGGAATACGCACAACAAAACAAGCTAAAATAATCTAGCAAGAAGTTGTCATCATGCCTCTCCAAATTTCAGAACTTCGTGAGGATAATGGACAAAAATTAATTCCATCTGAAGAAGCTCAAAAAAGAGTTATAATTTATCTTTGACAGGGTAAAAACCAAAATAACAGGAGTCCACACCATTAAATACATATACATTATGTGTTCACCACACACTTTCTTACTACAGCACATAGTTATGCACTGGGACCTTAACTAGTTCAAGTGACTAGTACAAACAAATCTTTATCACAAAACAAACCAACCAATAATAATCCCTATTGTCCTGCCTTGTCATGAAACAAAAATGCACTGCTGAAAAGTAAGCAGAACTGTCATAAATGTATTCATCTTGAAATACCTGCTGTCAAAATATATTATCAGAGTCAATACATCTCTAATTGTAATTTAAAACCCATCAATACGAGTTCAACCTCAGATAAGGCCCACGTGGTAAATTGTAACTAAGAGTGGTTAAGACGTAATAAAATCAGGTGACAGTAGGCCACATGTGACTTCCCTATTTTACATCAAAACAGATTACCTGTCAGACAAAAATTATGAATATAATAATCCTTGAGAAGAAAGATTATGGACAAGCCACATCATTTTATATTGACTGAGAGAGGTTGCTTATACAGACGCAACTAAAACACAGCAACTACACTCAATTAAAGTTGCAATGTACTAAACTGATAAATCAATGGCCACTCAGAAATATAACAAGTAAAAACATTGCCAATAAAGAAAATCAACTGACACAATAGAACATGATGAATCTATTTTGTAACTTCTAATATCTAAAAGAGATGTACCTAATTCTCCATTTCCCTTTTAAGGACACATTTTAGTGCTCATCAGCACAACGATAAATTCTTGCCCACATACACAATAGTAGGGGAAAAACAGGTTAAAAATGGGGAAAAAGTCTTAATGCATTAAGGTTAAATTTTAAGTTGAAGAAAATTCAGGTAGGAATTTTCTAAAATTCAGGTTTACAAACAGCAACAATGATCTGATCATGTTGCAGGTACATATAGGCATTATTTTTTCCATTTGATATGATAATTTTCATTTAATAAAAATAAACCTGCCAACTCTGTTAATTGCACAATAGTTTATCACACTAACCCAAAAGGTTACAGAATACTTTTTTTCACCCCCAAAGTCACAGAGCTTTAGCAGGCACCTGCACAGAAAGCAAATATAAGTCACAGACAGGAACATATTAAGTATCTTGGTCCCACTCAGTTTTGGCTGATACTTTCCAGTGGAGTCCCTTTAACTTCACAGGATGGGGAGTCTCTGTTGCTTCCCTTGAATAGAATTCTTGGAATTCTCCCTTCCTGTGGAGTTCAGGAACTCTGCAATAGAGGAAAGTCTCTGCTATTTCTTTCTACTGGTGAAACTAATCTCCACAGTAGAAGAGAGTCTGCCTTTTTTCTGCCCTCTAATGTATGGGGTTAAATTTCTTTGCACTTGCCATTAGACCTTTAAAATTGACAACAGCACAGTTGCTGGACTAATGTAAAAGTGTCACAGTTTGAAATGCAACACTTGTAAATGGTTTTAAACATGGGAATGTGCTATTTGACTATTCAAAAATAAAAGGCAGTTTTCTTAAAATGTGAGCTTAGACTTTTCACATTTTTCTTCACATGTCACTTGGGCTTTGAACAGTTTCTTCTTCATCAGTACCAAACCTCCATTCTCCCCACTCCTCTCCACCCCCTCCCAGCCAATTTTGTAGGAAGGGCTGGCCACGTTTTCAAATTAAAGGAAATTTTCAATTGATAAGTACATTTTTCTTAATTGTTGATGGATTTGTAGTCTCTAGGGGAGCTTATTTAAAATGTGAATTTTGGGAAGCAGACATTGAAGTTAACAACTATTTAAATCTAAAAAATTATTTAAGCTAGAAATTAAATTGTGGCATCTTACTGAGCTCAGTTGGTGTGCAACCCCAGTCTTTTGAAAGCAACACTTAGTTGAGGGTTAGAAAATGATCTTGTATTCTCTTAGCTGACATCGTGTGACCTTGTAGGAGTTTTCCATATCATCATCTTACTATATATTTAGAAATGCGTGGCTATCTGTGATTTCATTTGTTCAAGATCTTTCCTAAACAGTAAGAACTAGGGCACCAAATTTGGTATGCAGCTTCCTCTTATCATAACTTAAAGCAAGGTCAGGGATCGGTTGTGCCAGGAATTCGATTGTTTCTTATACAAAGGAAAGGGAGGAGTCTGGCAGGAGGGAGTTATACTGCAGAATGATCACAGGGGGACAGCAAAGAGACAGAAATGGGGACCAGGATGGCTAAAATCCCATTGGACCAGCAAGGGACAGGGATGAAGGAAGGGACAGCTATTTTACTATACATTTCAGAAAGTCTGTCTGTTGGTGTGTCTGTCTATATGTCTGTCTGCCCCCACCTTTGGGACAGCTGCAGCACCATAGACAGGCACTTCTCATCTGGCCCCAAATTACTGCAGTGAGAGAGGGCTGGGGTTATCCTCTCTCCCTGGGGCAACCAGCATACCAAACCTCTCATCCTCTACCCCATCTTAGGACAATGATTTAAATGAAGAAAAAGAAAAACATATCTGAGTTAAGGACCCAAGCAATATAGTGTAAATCTTCTAGTTTCTTTATATGATGCATATAATCTCCTAGCTCAGGATGTAGCTACTGCTCATGGCCAGATCCAATTTCCACTGAAGTCTTTCTCTTGATTTCAATAGGAGTTGGAATAGGCTCTTAGCAAGTAGTCTCACCAAAAAGGCTTCTTGATGATTTGGAATCCTCGCTCACACACTGCAGGAAAATTTTCAAGCAAGACATCAGTTTTTAACATCTTGTACCGTATTCTCTCCAGGATGCTTAAAATTTAGAGAGAATGACAAGTGACCTATTTTTGTGGGAAATTAAATTTTACTATCAGCTTGAATGATGGCTTTGCCTTAGGATTACATTGTTGGAGTGAAGCTGTCTACAGGAAGCTCCAAGTTTGGATAGCCTCTCATGTGTTCACAGTTAGGTACCAGATTCTCCCAGGAAATGAAACAGGAATTTGTCAGACACTCCTCTCGTGTACTCTCATCTTCATATTCTCAGACAGGTTGCTTCAATCTATGGCTAAGAGTGCCTATAGTTACAGACACTAGTAGTGTGCGTGTGTGTAGGCAGAGCATCTTGCCCCCAATTCCGATCATGTTACATCAGAATGGAGCATTTAAGTAAACAGACTTAAACTCCCAGTATATTGTGATTTCAGAATGGGAGTTGACCCTCTGGGGAAGTGTGTGGCTGTAAGGCACAGCTTGCAGCAAAAGCAATTAACTCATTAAACGCCAGCTCTTAACTGGTTAACCTTTTTAACATAGGGCCTACTTCTTGGCCCCATCACAGCTGTGGGTTCCTGCCACGACCATGAGGTCCCAATGCCGATGCAGGGTCTTGCCACTTGCCCTGTTGGCCCCTCCACTGGCAAGGCTCATATGACCTAGCACGACTTCACTGTCAAAGGCTGGTTAACTGGTAAGCATATCAGTAAGCCTGCTTACCAGTATGCTTATTGGTTAACGGATAATCATTCCTAGCACCCAGATGGATTCTGATTCCAGTTCTCAAAGAGCTCTTCCTTAAGAGTGTCTGTCTTCCTGCACAAGAAGCAGAAGCATGGGGCTACCTTGGCATGTGTAAAATTAAAGGAATTGATGTGTCTTTTCCTCTTGCACACACCTCAGTCACATCTGGGCTTCTTGCTTCCCCTTCTTCAGTGGCTGATGGAATTTGCAATGGGACATCCATCAGATTGTCAGTAAATAAATTATTAAATCAGGTATATAAAAAAGTGTTCTACTTTTATAGCATGCCTATAACAGGAGCAAAACAATTGATAATGTGGAGAGAGCTGGGGATAGGAGTAGAAAATGTTTAAACATTTTCAAAGGCCAAAATATTCATAACCCAAAATTATGACTAAACTTCCACACTTCTGACGGGCCAGGAAAACAAGGGTGCATTAAACAAGCCAGATTAAATTTAAACCCCAGGACAGGACCCTATGAACCAGTTAAGGTTCAAGTAGCTCTTTGTATCTCCATATAACAAGAACTTGGCCTTGACTGGTAATTCTCTATGCTTGTTAGAGATGAGGCATATATGCCCAGCTGTAACAAGACCCTGACTGTAGCTTTAGAGAGATGTCATAATTCTACAGGGATTACCATTGTACTACTGACAAAAGTGCCAAATCTGCCTCCAGAACTGAAAGCAGATTGAAGACTCTGTACAGGCTCTGAGGACTAGCTGATGCAGAGGAATTTGAAGATTATGGAGTTGCATAGTTGTAATCAGGGATCTAATTTGGATTTTGGGCCATTTTAATAATGACATGGCACAAGATGGAAGGAAGCCAGACTTGACTCTTAGGCTGAAGAGGAGCATGCACTGCAGGCTGCTATAAAAATATTTGTTTACTAGAAAAAGTAAATCAATTATCAAAATACCCAAGTTATAAGCAGAGTATTCTACAATGGCATTTTTACAAAGTTCTTTTTCAGAAAAGTACTTGTGTTCTGAAGTCTAGCATGAAAAGTTCCCTTCTACATCTAAATATACTGAGAGGGTAGGAAAATTCACACATTAGTGAACTTTGAAATATTCTCTTTGATTTAATGGTTTTCTTCCTAGTAAACTGAACTATTGCATTTTCTGAAATATTTTCAATACCATTCACCCTCAGTGGAGCAACTGAAGCCTACTCTAGGAGTTGTGTCGTAGTTTTCTAGTATATTGCTCACCACTATTTCAGTTTCTACAGATTTGCAAAATATTCATTAACATCTAATAATACCTTGAGTAGTTACAAGCTTTAGCATAGCTTCCAGATGTTCTTTTTCAGAAGCAGTAGCTTGATGCAGCCATGCCAACATGTCTCCTACATATCTAAATAAAAACAAGAATTGTTATATAAAGGATTTATTGTATGATTGACAAAAATATTCTGTAATGCACAATTTCATTACTATCCTACCTCAAAGGATCATGGGAGTGCATTTCTATAGGGCGGGGAGTACCACTCGGTCCTCCTCGGGTAAGAGCATCTATAAAGCCACGGACTACTGCACTTCTTCTAGCTGTTCCAAACTCATCTAGGGTATACCTATAATTGAAACAAGATATTTAGAAAAAAAACATTTTCTCTCAGAATATACATTAGCCTAATTTAAAAGCATTGTTTATAACCATTGATTTGGCTATACATAAAGTTGTATTGATGTTTCCACTATACACAGTCCAAATTCCGAGGTTTGTGATTTAAGCTGTAAAAATCTGATTCATGAAGACACACCCTCTCTCTGAATTTTTTTCCTTTATAAGAAAAATCAAGCCCTCCTTTAGGCATGGCTCTCTGGCCAGATCACAATAGGGTTTCGAATTTATAATAGGACTGAATAACTGGGTACTGTTCCCAGCAGTCATCCAACTCACTTTTCCAGTAGCTAGTTAAGAAACCCAGATTTCAGCCCAAGGACACCACACCAGCAACCCTGATCTATTCCATCCCCATTACTTCCACTTTCCTTGGCCTTTACCTATTCTAGCTCTATCAGGCTTCCTTGTCCATTCTTCTCTGTGTACACCTTTCCCTCAGGACCAGGATCCCGGGGCCTCTATTTTCTCCATGTTTCTTCCTTTCCCTCTCTAAACCCCGAGAGTTACTACAGGCCTTCATGCTGCAGTGCTCTTTCTGCTGGCTTTACACTAGCCCTGCTTGCTTCTGCTCAGATAGGCTTCATCCTCAATCAGTGCTTGTTCATCAAGCCTGGCTCTTCTTTAGGTGTGGCCTATCAGGTTACTTACCCATTTGGGGCCAAATTAACACTTTCCAGGTTAGTGTGAGGGGAAACCCCATTACACAACTTCCTTTAAATTCTTCATTAACAGAGTCCCATATGAATCATTCCATTTTGCTTTCAGTCTTTGAGAACTTCCCTGGTGTTCCAATACTTATTGAAAATCAGCATTCATGGTCCAGAGAGCTTCATTCCCTCTTAACATTTGTGGATGCTAAGTATCCAGACCCAATGACTTAAATATATTTTACTTTAGTCTAGTAGCTACTGTTTAACATCCTTCTGAATTACTATGGAAAAGTGTACCGTCATAATATTGTGTGATTACGTTATCTAGTTTTTCCCAAATATAGAACACATCCACCTTTTCTGCATTATTATAGGCAATGCTGCTATTTTCAACTAGAAAAAGATCAATACCACTGTTATAATTCTTTTTGCATTAGGGATATTAATCCTGTGTAATTGGTTAACCTGTTAACCAATTAAGAGAGGCCATTGGAGCACTGCCTCCCCTTACCCCCAGGAAAGAGCTGGAGCAGCCCTGCCTGCCACATCCTCTCCACGCTCGCCACATACAGGGGCTGCTCTGGACACCTGGAGAGCCCATGACATACTTCTGCCTGTGGATGGGGAGCTGCTCCAACCCCCACTGGTTAACCGGAACTGGGTAAGCATCAGTTAACCTCTCACACCCCTATTTTGCATACATAAACTCCTTGTAATAGGCCCTTATCTCTACTGGGTATACATATTTCCTTATATTCTTTTGCATCTCATATCCATTTTCTACAATTCCTAGCTTCTGGTTTACATTAATAACTATATTTCCTCTTTCTCTGTGTGTGTTTTTTAATTTTGCTTTTACTTCCCTTCTAAGCTTGTGAACTGAAAGCAAATACATCTTGAAACTTTATACAAATTCTGGCAATCCTGTCTCTTTGCAAAAAGGAAAAAGTGATCATATATTTATCAGAATGTTTTAAATTGGAGCTAGGATTACTGTCTCCACAGAAGAAAGCTCTACTACATTTTCCAGAATGCTGTGAATGCTTCCCAGGATCACGAGTCAGAATTAGGAATTTTAAATTTAGATTAATTGGGTAATCAAATAGTTGATGCAATTTGCATAGACTATTCGATTAGTCAATAAGGGCATCTCTGACTTACAGCCCCAGGGCTGTTGCCACACTTCAAAGGTGAAAGCACTGCCAGGAGAACGGGACCAGAGCTGGAATCAATCAGTCCCCCACTGGCCCTGTGCTCCCTACTACATTTCAAAGCGGCAAAACCACATGGAGCCTGGGGTCAGTGGGGGAGTCCCCAGCTGACCCTGGGCTCCACGTGGCACTGCCTCTTTGAAATGCTGCATGCAGCCCGGTGTTCCCGGGCTGCATGTGGTGTTCCAAAGTAGCTCCACATGGAGCCCAGGGTCTGGCTCTTTCTGATAGAGGCAGCAAGGTAGGGGGAAGCGACGAGTTGACTAATGTGTAAACTATCCAATAAGCATCTGCTTATCGGCTAGTCGACTTAATCATTCATATCCATAGTCAGAATCACATTCTGTATTCCCTAAAGTAAAGAAGGATTTGTGGTTGTCATGTGCCTAGGGATGTAAGCGACTAGTCAACTTCCCAAGTCATGAAGACTCCAGTCGTATGCGGGTTGATATTAGCTTGGAAATACAATGTGCTAAAATCAGAGCTCCCTTAGAATAGTTGGTAACAGACAAAAAGAGACGTGGAGACTTGCAGATCACCTGTGTTTTGTCAATATAAAAAGCTAGAGCCCGCTGAATGTCCAAGGTGTGAAGCCTGGCATCTCTATGAGAGGTGTGGGTCTCTGGGAAGAACGTAGGCAGGACTATGGGCTTGTTGATATGAAAGGAGATGCTGACCTTCAGCATAAATGATGGGTGAGTCTTAAAGTTACTCTGTCTTTGGCAAATATGGTGTATGGTGGGTCTGCCCTTAGGGCCCCTATCTCACTAACCCTTCCCACAGAAGTAATGACCACTAAAAACAACACCTTCACGGTAAGGAGCAGAAGTGGACAAGTGGCCATCGGTTCAAAGGGAGGTCTCATGAGACAGTCTAGGACAAAGTTTAGGTACCAAAATGTGCTGGTGTCCTGCAAGGGGGAATAGAGATTGTGAAGGCCTTTGAGGAATCTTCTGGTGATTGGGCAAACACAGATGATCCATTGATCTGCTCATGGAAGGCCAGAATTGCTGCCAAGTGCACCTTGACATATGAGATGGATAGGCTGCTGTTCTTTAGGTAGTATATGCAGTTGAGGATCGAGTGGAGAGGTGCTTTGTGAGGAAGGATGCGCAGTTGTTGGCTCCAGAACATCAGGGCTGCATCTAGGACTGGCAAGTTTTTCCGCAATGCTTTTGCAGAAAAACTGGCCAGCTGTCTACACTGGCTGCTTTAATTTCCGCAAGAACACTGACGATCTCATGTAAGATTGTCAGTGTTCTTGCAGAAATACTATGCTGCTCCCGTTCGGGAAAAAGCCCTCTTGTGCCAATGCTTTTGCGCAAGAGGGCCAGTGTAGACAACGTGGTATTGTTTTGAGCAAAAAAGCCCCGATCGCGAAAATGGCGATTGGGGCTTTCTTGCGGAAAACCGCATCTAGATTGGCACGGATGCTTTTCTGCAAAAAGTGCTTTTGCGGAAAAGTGTCCATGCCAATCTAGATGCTCTTTTCTGCAAATGCTTTTAACGGAAAAACTTTTCCGTTAAAAGCATTTGCGGAAAATCATGCCAGTCTAGACGTAGCCAAGTCTTTCCATTTGTGCAGGTAAGTGTTTCTGGTAGATGGTCTCCTGCTGTGGAGGACGGGTCTTACTTGTTCTGAACAGCCGGCTTTGGCACCATGAAACCAGAGAGAAGCCAGGTGTGAAGGTGGAGAGTGTGAAGTTGAGGTTGAAAGAATTTGCCTTCGTTCTGAGAAAGGAGATTGCGTTGACATGGGAGTTGGTAAGGTGGTTCTACAGATATTTGCTGGAGAAATGGGAAGAGGAAGTTATTCACCCTGTGCAGTAATGATGGTTCTTCAAGATGTGTGTCCTCATGGACGCGCACTGTTGGTGTCTGGCTTGTCCGGGTGTTGCAGAACGGAGATCTTTTAGCAGTCATCTGCCAGACCGTGCATGCATGTTGGTCGTCTCATGGCGTTTTACACCATTTCTGGTCGCACCATCTGGCTCCCGCCAGTTTCTCCTCCTTGTCGAGGTCTGAAACACATAATCAGAGACTCTTAAGAGGGGAGGAGGGCAGGTCATGGAGCACCCACGGGAACACACATCTCGAAAAACCATCGTTACTGCACACAGTGAGTAACTTCCTCCTCTTCTTCGAGTAGTGTCCCCGTGGGTGCTCCACTGTTGGTGACTCCACAACAGTACCCTGGAAAAAGGAGGCAGGGTTCAGAGTCAATGTGTTGCTGCCGTTGAAAGGACTGCAGAGGCAACTGCTGCATCAGTCACAAAAATGTTAGAAAGTGCATAGCGTTTTGCAAATGTAAATTCTGAGGACCATGTGGCCGCACAGCAAATGTCCTTGAGGGGGATTCCCTTGAGGAAAACAGTGGAAGACGGCATTGCCCTGGTAGAATGGGGCCTGACAGCATGTGGAAGGATTTTGTTTCATAATGCATAGCACCACGTAATCCAGGAGACGATTATTTTCGATATATGTTGTGCTGATAATGGGAGATCTTTGGAACAGTCGGCTTACAGACGTCCGGAAGAACCGAGTACTTTCGATGTAAAAGTCCAGGGCTCGACGGACATCCAGAGAATGCGGTGCTGTTCTGAAGAATGTGGTTTCGGGTAGAATATGGGAAGGAATATGGGCTCGTTTATATGAAATTCCGAGTTAACTTGAGGTAAAAATGCTGGTTGGAGTCATAATATGACTTCTTGAGGCATAAAAACAGTATAGGGAGGGGACACCGATAGGGCTGCCAACTCTCCCACCCTGCGTGCTGAGGTTATTGCCAGCAAAAATACAACCTTCATGGTTAGAGTGGGTAAATCACACATGGCTAAGGGTTCAAATAGTCACCACATTAAAGGTATCTAGGACCAATTCCACGGGTCCAGGGGTTGCCTATGGCATGGGAAGATATTGGCCAATCCCTTCATAAATTGTCTTGTGATAGGGTTCAAGAAAACAGTACAGTCGTCCACAGGTTGTCGAAAAGCCATGATTGCCGCTAAATGGACTTTCAAAGAAGAAAGTGCGAGACCCAGGTGTTTGAGGTGGAGAATGTAGTCCAAGATGGATTGCACGGGTAG